GCTCTCTATTTACACGCTTCCAGAGGATGTGTACCTTTTGGCCAGAGTTTCTACACTAGATACTTCTACTGGCATAGCAGTGTGTGTTTGGAGATTGGGGAGATCCTGGGAGGGGGTGGGTTGAAGAGGGGAACTTTTCTCCACTGATTAGAAGTCCAAGGGTAGAGGCAGTTAAACCAGCATAAATATGCATTTGCTAGTGCAGCTGGTTTGAAGCATACAGCAAAGGACTTTTTTGGCTGGTATAAGCAGCATCTATCTAGGAGGGCATGCCAATCCAGCTATCATGAGAAATCATTTCTAGTGCAGACTTGGCCTTACTTTCTCTCCACCTTCCATGATTCTAGTGTTTATGGACTGACTACTTATACTTTGTCCTGTCTCCTGGGGATGACTCTTAAACATGTATTAAATATCGGAGTGGATTTGATTTAAATCAAATCAATTTAAATCACTGGTCAGGAAGCCTTGACTTAATCATTGTTTTCTACAAAAAGTGCATTCTTGTTGTTTGATATAACTTTCATTTAAAATATTCCCAAACGGTTTCTTTTACAGCCTGGCATGCCTTCTACCATAATAGGTTTTCCCTTCTACCATACCATTCCCTCACTAGATCTCAAACCAATGGAAAGGCTATACTCAGAGACTTATCTCTCAAGAATTCTGGAATATTCTGCTCAAAATGGTTCTCTTTTGTTTCTAGTGCCCTTCCTTCCTTGCATTTATCTCCAGACTCCTCCTCCTTGCCCAGATCTACTCCACACCCAACAATCCTCTGTTCATTTTACTTCTTGAAACTTTGCACTTTTAGAGAGAAGTAGGGGCTTGACTTTGTGTACACAAACTTGCAGAGAAACAATAGGGCTGATGGGTAGGTAATCAGGTCTGTTATCTCATCCCCGTATACTGCTGTTAACAAGGATATTATCTCTGGAGATAAATGCACAGTTTGAGAACTGAAACTAAGCATCACAGAGATGGGTTTCTCTAGATTGAGCACTGAGTCCCATTGGGTAGAGTGGTTTTCTTTAATTTTTACTAAACCATAGAAGAGCCTCTAGGAACCCCATAAAATAGATTGGGCTCCTAATATAGTCCATGCCATGTTGTGACCTATTTATAAAACTTTTTTTTAAAAGGTTACATGAATAGATTGTCTCAAATAGTATGCAATTAGAAATTATAATCCCTACTCCGTGATGATATCTTTGAGCTCTAGCATATCTTAAATCAAAAGTATCTTTATATAGGTTTAGTTTTTTAAAGCATCTTAACAAAACAATAACAAAAATGATTAAATAAAAATATCTGATTTAAATTTTAAAAATCTGATTTTTTTTAAATTAAAAAAGTAATATTAAAAGATATGCCATAACAAATATGTCTTGCCTCTAGCTGACTCTGGCACTTTGTTGGCAGTAGGTTGTCCTTCTCCTTCCATAGCTTATTCTAGACACAAGCCCCAAAACTTTCTGGAGGCATCCTCATGAGATGTCTCAAAACCTCTGTTTCATCTTTAAGATGACCCTTTGCCTGCATCTATTTATTTTCAGTTCAGTACGGTTTACAAGACAGTATTTCATTAGGACTCAAACATTTTCTTTAGTAGATGGTTCCCAACAAGTGTAGAAATCCTATGTATTCACATGCAGGTATATTTAAAAGAAACAAGGTTTCTGATCTATCAATGATAGCTACTTTTGAAATAATGGTAATTTTACTTCCTTTTTTTCCCTTAAAAATAGTAGAAGTTATAAGACTTGTTTCGATACAGACTTTATGATTAAAATGGGGAACAGTAAAATAGCAAGTAATGTTTTTGCAAGTGGGAGAAACAAAATTAAAATCTCTCCTTCTTTCCAAAGCAACTAAACTGACATTTTTAATATGTTGATTTTATTTCTTTAAGAAAGTTAGTGTGTACAGATTTTGCTCTGAGATTTTTTTCACTTTTCACAGAATCATTGAGTATAATCACCTCTGAATATTAGGTAAAGTTCTAGGGTGTTGGTTGTAGCCGTGTTGGTCTAAGGACATAGGCAGGCAAGATTTTTTGGGTAAATGTGATATCTTTTATTAGACCAACTAAATAGTTGGAAAAAAATGTTCTTTGCAAGCTTTTGGGCACAAAAGGTAAAGTTCTAAACATTTTCTAGTATTTAGCTTCCAATATCTTAATTCCATTTACTTAATTCTCTTAATTCCACATGTCTGTTTTTTTTTTGTTTTTTCAAACTAAGCCTTCTTACTAGCACCAGCTGATCAGATGGTCACTCCCAACATCTTATTGTCACATTCATCAAGTCCTTTTAATTAGGGACTTTTCTCTTTCACTTTGGTTTCTGAACATGACATTTCAACTTCCAGTTCAGTATCCAGTCATCTTTTTTTAATGTCACTTTTACAAACATGTACAAGCTCATCTTTGTTTGTTGGATTTAGTTAACCTTCTCAATAATAAACTTAACCTTTGATTATGAGATTAATTTCCCTTCTATTAACTTGATCCTCTTGAAATTACGATCCACACAGCAAACTATCAGCTTCATTACTGCATAGAAATGGGTAGCTATTGGTATTGCTGTCAGCACTATACAATACTCCATAAAGTTGCCCAAATTTGCCCATAAGTGTTGTGAGAAGTTTCATGATTTCTTAGTTTCTTCATGATTTTCTAAATATTTGTTTTCCTACTTTTCTATAATACCCATTTTTACAAATTTTAAACCAAAAAGTAAGAGATGTATACACTTTTACCCTAGAACACTCAGCAATTTAATTTTTGAGCATATATCGCCTTCCTCCTCTGAATGGGACATAAAAATGCGGTCTTTCTAGTCAGTTTTTCTGGTGTACCTTCCAGGAAAATGAATTATCCTATTATATATAATATTAACGGCAAAAAGTTAACCTCTCATGGAAGTAAATAAGGTGCACTTGAAGGAGGTGTTAAGCCCTTTCCTAAAAGGTAGGCTTTTATTTTTAAGGATCATAATGATCACTGAAGCTCTTACAGCTTTTGTAAATGTGTATTTTTGGCATGTGTTCTTTTTCAAACACTTCAAAGACTTTTTTAAAAGTTATTGCATGTGTATAGTAGCTGCTTTCAAAGTCTACATTCTAGGTGTGTATTTAAAATTCACACTACTTGCTTATTAACCTAAATTGACTGTTTTCTTGCCAATTTTTTTTTCTATTCAGGCTTCTTTACAGATATTTTCAGAAATTAAGATGTCAGCAAAGGTAATCTCTTGCACTTTGGGGGAAAAATCAGTAGGTTACGCTCCCCTTCCAAACTTTTATTTCCAGGCTAACATCTTGACTTGTAAGGAGACATTTACTTTCCTATGATCCTAAGTAGATTCCTTTGAGGTGACATTAGTTCTCGTTGCATCTCTAGACATAGTGGATTATTTATAATGGAGGCTAGATAAACATTCTGGAGTTCAGAGTTCACCATAGATCCCTTGGTTCTTTTGATGATGATTTATTTGTATGACAGTGTTTGTGTTCTTTATGAAATTGTGGGTCAATTGCATGGTAGTTTAGCAATTTTTCATGTTAATGAGGGTTGACCTAATCAAATTATCTAGATTGTATATAACTCTTGTTGGCACACACACAGACATAGACACACTTGATCTGAGCCGACAGGAGTTACACACATATACAACCTAGGCTATATGATGAGGACAGCTTTCACTAACATGCTAAATTATATATGGACACAAACCAAGTAGAGTTTATATCACTGAATTGAGCTAAAAGTGATACATTTCAACAAAAAAGCTGTTAGAAAAATCATTTTTGACTGCTGTTAGAGATTGTGTAGCTTTGGGTAAGTAGCTTTTTCCAGTTTCTTACTGAATGCGAACAAATAAACGAAAAAGGAGGAAATTGCATGTCATTTTGGGAAACATTAACAATGTTAAAACTCTTGATATAGGCACTACAGCCAACAACGTTGGTCAATAGTGTTCTAAAAACCTTAATTTGCAGTGCTGTGTCATTTGGGTATGGCATGTTTATTATAGTAATGTGCAAAAGCCATATTGAGAATGGTAGTTTCATTGGTGTAGACCCAGTACAGACACAGTAGCACACAGTTCCTGCACCAAAGGCGTTATGCTTTAAGTAGACAATAAGAGTGAACAATTTGACTGCAGCAAACATGTTAGTTTTTTTAATTGGGGGGGACAAAGATTTAGCTAGGAAGGAAAAGGCTAAATGGAAAGTAAAAATGCTGGAAGGATAATGTTAGAGGAGAAAAAGGTAGACCTGTGAGGAATGAGGCCAAGGTGAAGAGATCAACTGAGAAGGTGGGAGCCAGTCTGAGCAAGTCAGTGTCCAGTCAAAATATACAAAGTTCTTCAAATTGTCCAGAGATCGGTACTTTAACTGCTCTCTCCCTCCCACTCAGCTGAAGTTTTTGCCTTGTTCATCTCTGTGGATTTCTGCCAAAACCACCTGGTAATGTTTGAGGAGGGACTCTTTCTACGCAGTCCTGGGTGTAGGG